CACTTTTTACAGATGAGACTAACCTGAAGTAGGCAGAGGTTAAGTGATAATGCAGGTAGTAAGCCTGTCTGAGGCCATATTTAAACTCAGGTCTTCCTGACGTCAGGGCCAGATCTCTATTCACGGCAGCGCCACCTAGCTGCATTAACAACTGTACCTATGTTACAGAGTTGTGAGAAATAAATGAGACCTATGTGTAAGGGGATTTGCAAACCTGAAATCACTATATAAATGCCAGCTCTTATTTTATTTTGTTTATTATTATTTTATATTTTATAGGGATTGTATATATTTATTATTATTTTATTACATTACACTGTTGACTAATACAGGATTTGCAACTCATTAAAACTTTTAGATTTTTTTCAGTTAAATAGCTATTTAGCCACATCTTCTCCATCTTGTACTTATCAAGTTGATTTTTTTATTCCAAATAGAGAACTTTACATTGATTTCTATTACATTTCATTTTATGAGATGATACCTAGTTGGACAAGTTCTGAAGCTACCTAACTGTACCATTGTTTAGCCCATATTAAATGAATAGGGGAAAATCATATTATTAGGTGGTGCAGTAGATAGAGCACCGGGTCTAGAGTCAGGAAGACACTTCTTCCCGAGTTCAAATCTGGCCTCAGATACTTACTAGCTGTATGACCATGGGCAAGTCACTTCACCCTGTTTGCCTCAGTTTTCTCATCTGTAAAATGAGCTGGAGAGGAAATGGCAAACCACTCCAGTATCTTTGCCAAAAAAATCTTAAATGGGGTCATGAAGAGTTGGATACTACTGAGTGTCAAAAATAAAATTATTATCCCCAAAGACTAAGAAGATATCATATCACTCCAATGTCATATCACTTTTTCTTCTTTATAAAATCCTCATTTATACAGGTATTAAGGGCATCCTTGATAAAAATCTGAGACTGGAACAGGTAGACTTTCTCAGATGATTCTCTACAACAGATTACATCTTCACTATCACACAATTGACCGAAAGGTGTAGTGAAGACAAGGTCCTGTTATGTTTATTGTTTATTGACTACAACAAAAAAATATTTTATTTGATGGAGCAAAAAGCTGCCTAAAGGCTCTTCTACAACCAAGTGCTTCCTATGTACATATTAAGATCATATAATATTCCTTGATAGACTCAGCCACAGTGATAACTTTTTGAAATGGGCTACTGATTATCAATGTCAAGTGAGGTATAAAATGGAGGAAAATACACTTGCCAACAGTGTTTGCCGCTGTCACAGAAAATATTCTAAGTAGGATTCAAATAGAAGAGGGATTCACTATCAGTGATGAGGTCTACCAAATGCTTCTGCTTGCAGGTTATTTTGATTTAAATTTCCAGAATGCCTTAAGAACTTTCTTCTCAGTTAACTCCCTGGCTACTTCAGGAACCACACTAACAATCCATGCAGGAAGAACCAAGTGGATGAAAAATGCCTAATGCTCAGACTATGACATAGGAGTTGGATAAGCAATTTGTTTTGTTACCTTTGGCCCAGGAGCATCAAGGGCACCTGTCACCAGAGGCGACATTTTCACCTTCCACTGGGCTTTTTTCTCCCATCTATGTGTGTGTGTGGAGGGGGAAGATAATGGGAAGATGGCCCAAGACTGTAGGTGACGACATCCACTTCCCTTCTTCTTTGGGGGGTTAGACTTAGGCTAGTCTGGGGTTGGAGGATCAAGAGGGAAGTCCCCTTGGACTTTGGCTTGAGGATGGGAGAAAAGGCAGGCTATCCCCTTTACTCCGCCTGGCTGTGTACTCTCTAAGAAGGCAATTTCCCTGTTCCCTTTCTCCTCAGAACAGTGAGTGGTCTCTAAGGTCCTCTTCAGCTCTGAATTGATGGTGCTGTCCTGGGAGCTACACCTGGCCTGAAGTCTATCATCCAGTCCAGTGGGTTCCAATGTTTCAACAACAACAAAAAAATGTGCTTGAACCCTCAGGTCATTTCCTATACTACTTATAATATTTTGCTACTATTTATTGCTTAAGGCATCATTAATGAATCTTTAGCCTCAAATTCCTGGACCATCACTCCCCAAGGGGTTTGCAAACCCTTAAATGGGCACCACCTGGTTGATTTTTTTAGGCCATGTGACCTGTAAATAGTGTAGTAAATAAGATGACTTAGGAATGTCCAAACATTTATATTATCACATATTACACACTAAAGGAGCATAATTCTGTGAACCCAAAATAAAAACTTTTCTTATAGAAAGAGTAGAGGTCTTTTATCATAATGTTCTTCATGCCCTCTAGTGTCAAAGTAAAGGCATTATTCCTGTTGACTCAAAATAAAAGCTGAAGTTAAATATCCCAGTTGTATGGTCTACGGATCTTTTCTAGTCCTCAGTGCAAGAAGGCCACTTTTCTGGGAGTGGATACTTTCCTCATTTTTAGGTTATGAAATGCTCAAATCCCAACTCACCCCAACATACATCATTAAAATAGCAACTTACAGCGCTTTGGGGTTTGCAAGGTACTTTCCAAATGTTATCTCATTTGAGCCTCACAGCAACCCTGAGAGGCTGGTGCTATTATTAATCTCATTTTACTGATGAGGAAACTGTGGTGAAGTGACTTGCCCAGGGTCACAGAATTAGTAAGCATCTGAGGCCAGTCTTCCGGACTCCAGGCCCACTGCTCTATCCACAGTGCCACATAGCACTTACAGAGTGCAAGGCCATCTTATTTTTTGTGGGCAGCCAAAATGGATGGGATCAACCAAAGCCTTGGCAGCACAGACCTGCTGAGGCAGCAGGAGTCAGAGCCTAATGCATTTGAGTGCATGTGGCTATATGGAGGAACTGGAAGACCTGTCAAGGGAGAGATTTATAATGTACACAAGCTGAAAATATCATTGCTCAGGAAAATCAAGGTTGTCCTCTATTTATTCATAATGACCCCCAATTTAGTCAATACACACTATTTGCTATGGTTATTATTGTTTCAATGATACTTCAATGATCAAATGAGACAATATTTGTTAAGTGCTCAGCTACGTTCCTGCCACATAGTAGGTGCTATATAAATATTTTGGGGCAGCTAAGTGGTGCAGTAGGTAGAGCTCTGGACCTGGAATCTGGAAGACCTGAGTCTATTTATTTATTTTTCATGGGAAGCTTGGGTTCACTTTATTCCCCCCTCCCACTTAATCGTATTTTATTTTTTCCAATTACATGTAAAGATAGTTTTCAACATTTACCTTTTTTTTTCTTTTTGGTGAGGCAGTTGGGGTTAAGTGACTTGCCCAGGGTCACACAGCTAATAAATGTCAAGCATCTGAGGTCAAATTTGAACTCAGGTCCTCCTGACTCCAAGGCTGGAGCTCTATCTACTTTGCCCCTCAACATTCACTTTTATAAGATTTTGAGTTCCAAATGTTTTCCCCCTCCCTCTTTCCCCCATCCCCAAGATGGCAAGCAATCTGATATAGGTTATACACATACAGTAATATTAAACATATTTCCACATTGGTCATGTTATGAAAGAGGAATCAGAACAAAAGGGAAAAACCACAAGAAAGAAAAAGTAACAACAAAAAAGAGAAAATAGTCTGCTTCGATCTACATTCAGACTCCATGGTTCTTTCTCCGCATGTGGATAGCATTTTCCATCATGAATCTTTTGGGATTGTGGAAGACCTGAGTTTAAATCTGGCCTCAGACACTTACTATACTTTAGTGTGACCCTGAACAAGTCACTTCACCCTGTTTGCCTAAGTTTCCTCATCTGTAAAATGAGTTGGAGAAGGAAATGGCAAGATATTCTAGTATTTTTGCTTAGAAAACCCCAAATGGAGTCAGACATGACTGAAATGAGTGAACAACCATCAAACTTCAACGACACTTCCATGAGTCTGTGACCTTATCAATGGGGGTACTTTTTTCCTATGATGCACATCTCAAGGCATCCATGGCCCTTTCATCTTGTGTAACTCTTGTGCACCATCTCTCATAAAACCTCCAGAAGGGGTTCCTCCACTACATTGGGTGTTCCTTTAGTTCTTTTGACACGTTGTGTTGTCCATCGGTGCTCTCTGGCTCATGCCAAGTGACAGCGCTCTTCTCTTTTCCAGTCAAATGTCTCTCTGATGGTATCCTTTTATACGGTTTCACTTGCTCAGTTCTTGGTTGTCCATGTAGTGGTACCTGCATCTACAACATACCTCTCCATTGCCCATTGGGTGATCCTAAAGTCTAATTATCTGTAGACCCTAATATTCCATATAGTATCATGCACTGGAAAAATCTTGTTGAAGAAGATGAGCCTTTTTTAAAGGAGAAGGGCTGTTTGTTTGTTTTTTGGGGAGGGGTCAACATTAAAGTAACTGTTAATAATAATACTCTATACTTTCTTTTTTTTATTTTTTATTTTTAACATGTGTTTTTAAAACTTTGGGTTACAAATTTTTTCCCTTCCTCCTTCCCCACCCACCCTTACTGAAAACGCTAGCATCTTGATACAGGTTATAGATGTGTAGTTATGCAAAACACTTTCATAGTAATCCTGTTGTGAAAAACTAAGTTTATTTCCCTTCATCCTATCCCACCCCCCATTTATGCTATTCTCTCTTTTGACCCTGTCCCTCCTCAGAAGTGTTTGCTTTTGATTATCCCCTCCCCTCTATCAACCTCCTGCTCTCTTGTCCCCTTCCCCCCTTATTTTCCTGTAGGGTATGTTATTCCTTCCTTAAGCCAAATCCTATGAGAATAAGATTCACTCATTCCCTCTTAATAGTCTATACTTTTCAAACTACTTTCACCTATACAATGTCATTTGATCGTACAGGTTTTATTGTGGAGGGTTTTTATTGTCCCTGTTTCACAGATCAAGAAAGGAAGCCAGTGGTTTACTAACACAGCAAGTTAGTAATAAAACTAAGAATACTGTGTTTGGAAGCATAGGAAAGAAACAGCAGCACCAGTCCCTGCTCTCCTGATACCACAATCTAGTAGGAGAGATAGAGCTTACTTACACCTAAGTATCTGCTAACCATCCCACCATCAGGGGCAGCTTGCCTGACTTCTTGAAGTCCAGTTACTTGTGAACCTGACGATAAATCTCTGAACCTGGTTCTTTACTTTGTCATGTTCAAACCAACAAACAAACACTCATCTCTTTCATTAACATTTATTCCTTGTCAGATCTGTCCAGTGTAGTGGGAAAAGCACTGAGCCATTCCACTTCTTTGGACCTAAACACATTATTCTGAGAGGCAGTCTATATAGCTCATACTAGTCAGCCAGAGGGGTACAGGAGACAAGGTTTAAGAAACTCTGCTCTAGGGTGCCTTCCATCTCTAAGGTCTTTGATGACTTTGAATACATTTGCTAGGAAGCAAATTCACCCCAGAACAAGCACACTCACCAGACAATTGTAAATGCTTCTGAGCTTCCATATTTTGCATATGAAAATCTGGAAGGTGAATTCACTCTTGGAGGTCAGACCTTGTGGTTATCCTCAGGAATGCCTTTTTCTACCTTCTGGGGACAGGCCAACCTAGAAGAGACCTTTCAAGTTTCCAATTAGGTGATGGCCTCCTTTGGGGCAGTGATTTGGTAACCAGAAAGGCTCTCAAGAGAATGGGCCGTTTGCTTTCAGTGTAAAATGAAAAGAGGTCTCACAAAAATATTTTTTAATGCATATAAAGTGACCCCCAAATATAGTAAAGCTTAAAACCGTACTAAGACTTTTGGGACACGCTGCAAGAGTCCCGGACCAGTGCTCGTGCGTGCAGTTCCCTTTTTCTCCTGTAGAGGGCGGTGCAGAGTAGGGGCATTTGCATTGAGGTGGGGACCCAGCAGGTATGGCTAAGGCTCATTCTGTCGGGGGCGGGGCGTGCGCGACGTCAGAGGCGGGGCTACCCTCGCCACGCCCCCGTTCGTCCAGAGCGTGTAGCGATTGGCGGGCAGTCATCGCTTAACAGCGCCTGTTGGCGAAGGGAGGAAGAGGGCTGTGTCCGGGGAGGGGAGTGGAGCGGGTGACGCCAAGACGGTGGCGGCAGCAGCGGCGGCGGCGGCCCCGTCGTATCTTCTTGCTGTCCTCTCGCGCAGGTGAATGGCTGCGGGATGGAAAGCGAGGGGAGCGGCGGGAGCGGGGGCTCGGCCGGACTCCTGCAGCAGATCCTGAGCCTGAAGCTGGTGCCGCGGGTGGGCAACGGAACGCTGTGCCCCAACTCCACCTCCCTCTGCTCCTTTCCAGGTACCGGCGGCGCCTGCGTCTACGCGAGGACCCCCCCCGGGGGGGCGGGGAGTGGTGCCCCGCCCCGTACCGTCACGTGATGGCCTCCGGGAGCCGCCCCTCTCCAGGGCGAGCCCCTCGGGCCACCGCCCCCTGACCCGGGACCTGCGGCGGCGGCTGCCGGGGAGAGAGGGCGACTCGGGCCCCAGGCTGGCCGGCTTCCTTTGAGCCACTTGTGTGCTTGCGTAGACGAGGGCGGAGCGGCGTCGCTTTCCCGAGTTTCCTGGCCGGGGCGAGTGTCCGGTCGCTGGACCTCAGGCCACGGTTGGGGCCTCTCAGGTCCTTGGTTAGACGGGGCGAGGGAGGAGGGCGGGACTGGCTCTTTTCAAAAACATCCCGACCAGTTCTAATAATGGTAATAGCTCGCGTCTGTGTCGCTCTTAAGGTTTACAGAGCACGTTACAAATATCATCTCTTTTGTTCCTTACCAGAACCCTGCAAGGTTAGGGCTTTCTGTCTTACCCACGGGGAAACTGAGGCAGGCGGAGGTGAAGCAAATGCCCAGGGTCACACAGCTGGCAGGTGTCTGAGGCAGGGTTTGAAGGGACCGCGATCGTCCTCAGCGAACGCGTATTAAGGGTCCTAGGAAATAGCAGGACAGAACGGGGCTGCTGAGTGGTCCGCCCCGGCCTAGCCTCCCTTAAACCAGGAACGTTGGGTGGTTGTGGTCTGCCCCTGTCCAGTACGGATGGGTGTGCACCACCTGCCGTGCAGGTTTTCTGACTAGTTTGTGAAATATCTGTGGCAGAATTAATAACCAAGTTGGAATAGATGCCGCCCGTTGTAATTTGTAATCATGGTTAGAAACATTTTTGACAGCGTAGTACTCCAAAGTAAGTTGAGTACAGAAAGTGTAATTTTTTTAAAAGTCAGAAATTCGTATGTGCCCCGCAGCCTTAGTGGAGCTGGACTCAGATTTTCTTTTTTTAAAAAGATGTTACTTCTTTTCTTATGTTTGTGTGGACTGAGGAAAATGGATATGAAGAGGCAGTGCTAGATAATTTTGGGAAGCGCTAGATGAAGAGCATTGATCTGAGGAGGTCTGGGTTCTAGTCCTGGGGCTGCCACTTAAGAGCCTCAGTTTCCTCACCTGTAAAAGAGAGGGTTACACTAGATGGTTTAGGTCCATTTTGGTTCTAATGTTTTCTGACTGAATGCTTACTTTTCATACATTCTCATTTGATTCAGTTTAAAAAAAATATCACATGTCTACTACTGCAAGGCTGTGGACTAGGCTTTGGAAATACAAACACAGAGTAAGACAGAAATTCTGGTTTCAAGGAGCTCACAGTTCTAGGCGAGGATAAAATGTGTGTCTAGATAGCTGTAATACAAGTTAGAATATAGAATAGAGCACCAGTGGTTCAAGAGATCTGAGGAATGGGAAAGCTAAAATTTCCAGATGGAGTATCAAGGAAGGCTTCCTGGAGGAGACCCTATCTGAGTTGGGACATCGAAGGAATGGTGTTTGACCCTTTTATCAGCCCTGGGTCTTAGGAAGTACAGTTATCATGCCCACTTTTATTTTTTTTAAAAATGTATTTATTTTTAGTTTTCAACATTTACTTCCACAAGATTTTGAGTTCCAAATTTTCACCCCATCTCGCCCCTCCCCCCACCCTAAGTGGGCATGCATTCTGAATACCCCTTCCCCTACTCTGCCCTCCCTTCCATCTCTCCCCCCCTTCTCTTATCCCCTTCCCCTTCTACTTTCCTGTAGGGCAGGATAGATTTCTGTACCCCTTTTCCCATATTTCTTATTTCCCACTTGTATCATGCCCACTTCTAAGATAAGGCAATTTGATCAAATTGGTTAATGGTCTTGACACAAAATTTCAAATATTAAGTGGACACAGCATGACTTGAACACACATAAGCTTCCGAGTCCAGTACTTTTGCTAATCCAACTGTGATATAGTGGAAAGAAGGGGAAAGAAAGCAGGTCTTTGTGGATGTAGAGGGTTGTCAAGGAGATGTGAGTTCTAGATCTTCGTCTGATAGCACACTGGCTGAGTGACCATGTACAAGTATCTAAAGGGTTCCCCAAGCAACTCTATTTGCATATAGACATTTCCATACGGGGAGTTCCCCAGATGGAGGAAATCATAGGCAAAAGAAGCTGTGGCTGTCCTGGTCTACTTTTAGTACTGAAAGGTGTCATCATTCTGGACACAGAAGATTTTCTCCTGTGTGCCTTATACCTTAAGAAGCATTTCTAGCAAGTCATTATATTGGTTTTTGGGTAGTTGTAAATACAGTAAGTATGGTGATGGCCTTTCAAATTTGATCTTGGTTGAGATTCCAAAATCTATTTCAATTTAGCCTAGACCAGGTATCCTGAATGCACGTAGCTCCCATTTTGGTCCCAGTGAAAAGGTTACTTGGATCTTATTGTCTACTCAGCCTGGAAAGTCATTGCTTTGAATATTGTGAGGCTTATCACTCAGGAAATTATGAAGTTATTTTTTTTCTCCTTGCATTTATATTTGGCTCCGGGTCTTTAGCATAGCTCTCTTTACACTGAATCACTTTAAGAAAACAACTTTGATTCTTTCCTCTTGTCCGGTACCACCCTGTGAGTCTGTAAGGGATGAAACGTTATGTCACAGCATTTTCAAATTGTGTAGTTGGAAGGGCCTTCAGTGTCCCTCTAGTCTATTCCTGATCTGAAAGAAGTCTTCACATTGAGCTGCCTATTGTTCATTGAGTCTCTGTTTAAGACTCACGACCTCCTGGAACAACTCGTTAGAAGAGCTAGGGTTGTACGGTGGATCGAGTGTCTGGCCTGATTCAGGAAGACATGAGTTCCAATCAAACTTTAGACACTTACTAACTGTGTGATTATGGGCAGGTCACTTAACCATTGTCTCCCTCAGTTTTGTCATCTGTAAAATGGCTATTATAATAGCAGTTACCTCCCAGGTACTTGATTGTTGGTCAACAGAGAATTTGAGACAGGATAGGTAGATTTGAGAGTCAGCATAAAGATAGTAATGAAATCCATGGGAGCCTGAAATCACAAGTATAGTATAGTGGGAGAGGAGAAGAAGGCCCAGGACAGAGCCCTGAGGGACACTTAGAGTTAGAGGACGTGATCTGGCAGAAGACCCAGCAAAGGAGATAGAAGGAGCTGTCAGACAGGGGAGAGGGGTGGCCCCCCCCAAAAAAAAAAACTAGAGAGAAGAGACTGTCCAGGAGAAGAGAGTGATCAGCAGTGTCAAAGGCTGCAGAGAAGCCAAGGAGAATGAAGATTGAGAAAAGGCCACTGGATTTGGCAACTAAGAGACCATTAGTAACTTTGGAGAGAGCAGTTTTGGTGGAATGATAAGTTGGAAGCCAGATGGTAAGGGGAGTAAAAAGAGAGTGAGATGAGAGAAAGTGGAGGCAGCGCTTTCAGCAATTTAACTGCGGAAGTCAGAAGAGAAATAAGATCATAGTTAGGAAGGATCAAGTGAGGAGTTTTTCAGTACAGGGGAGACATGGGCATGTTTCTAGGCAGCAGACAGGGAGATAAATTGAAAATAAGTGAAAGAGTAGGGATGACAGAGGGGGCAGTCTGTTGGAGGAGACAGGATAGAATGGGATCACTTGAACCTGGTAAAGGAGTAAGGCCACTTCATCATGTGAAACAGGGATGAAGGAGGAGAGTGGAAGAGGGCACCAGAGTGATAGGAGATGAGGAAGAGGGAGCTCATGGAGAATGGCCTCCGTTTTTTCTGTGGAAGAAGAGGGGGAGGGGGAGTCATTGTTGGGGGTTTCAGGAAGGATGAGAAGGTGTGGAAGTGTCACTGTGGAGATGTGATGAGGGAGGTACAGTAGCAGCATCTGCTCCATCCCCTCCCCCGCCACTGTCACTGCCTTTGGACAGGCCCTCATTATTTGACACCAGGATTGTTGCACTAGCCTGTCTCAAGACTCTTGCCCATTCTAATTCATCCTCCATTCAGCTGTCAAGTTGATCTTCTTAAAGCATAGTTCTGACCATGTCTCACATACACACGCCCAGTTCAGTAAACTCCAGTGGCTCCCCATCACCTCTAGGAGAACTCAAGTATAACATCTGGTTTTTAAAGCCTTTTGTGGCCCAGCTCCTTCCTACCTCTCTGGTCTTCTTACGCCTCACTCCCCTCTATGTGACTCTTTGATCTAGGGATGTGGCCTCCTTGCTGTTCCTCACATTGACACTCCGTCTCCCATTCTGAGCCTTTTCACTGGAATTCTCTTCCTTCTCGTCTCTGCCCCCTGGCTTCCCTTGCCACCTTCAAGCCTCTCCTTTTGCAAGGAGCCCCTCCCAGCCCTCTTTAATCTTTGTCTCTTCCTTTTGAGTTTGCCCCCCCCCCCCCCCCCGTTCATCCTGTCTGTAACTTGTTTGTACATGGTTGTTTGCCTCTTGTCTCTCCCCTGAGATTCTGAGAGTCCCTTGAAAGCAGGGACTGTTTTGTTCATTTGTTGCCTCTCTTTGTATCACTAGTGTTTATCACAGTACCTGGCATATCGTAGGTGTCTAATAAACGTTAGTTCACTGGCAGACTGACCACTCTCTTAGTATTCTCCCTTTGATAATGACCAGTCTCTTCGGGTTCTTCTCCTGACACTTTCTCCTGGTTCTGCTTTGTTGGGTATCTACATATCCAATCTTCATTCGTCTCCTGAGCTCCAGTGCTTTTCCACTGGCCTGGCTGCTGGATGTTCCACTTGGATGTCCCAGAGGCATCTCATATTCAGCGTGCCCCCAAGTGGAATTTGCTCTGTTTCCCATCAAGCTGGCCCGCCTTCTCCCTGTTTCTGCGGACACGCTGCCGTCCGTGGCGTCGCCCTGAGATCTCCCTCGCTCCTCATATCTAGTCAGTTGGCCATCCTTGTTGATTCTGCCTCCACGCCGTCTCTCTGATCTGTCACCCCCTTTTTCTCACTCCCGGGTGACCACCTAGGAGGGATTAGGCCCCATCACCTCCTACTTGCCGAAGAAGCAGCTTGATTGGTTTCCTTGCCCAAAGTCTCACTTCTCCAGCCCATTCTCCACATAGCTGCCGGAATACATGCTTAAAGTACAGGCCAGATCATATCACTCTCTTGCTTAAGATTTCTTAGTTGCTTTAGGATAAATTTAGCATAAATCCATCAATCAGCATGTGTCTGACTGTTATTAAGTGTCTGCAATGTTCCAAGCACAGATGCTCTGTGCTGGTAAGAAAGAAAAAATATTAAATATGCTGCCTTCAAGGGACCTTGATTTTATCAGGGGATATATATTATATATTGTAAAGCATAAATGTCTT